TTTTTGCTCCCCTAAAGGCACTCCTGTACTTCCCCCTCAACCTCAAGACCACGGGTTGGAATGCTTTTTTGATATAGACTTGTAGGCTTCCAGACCTTTGTCTATTATCAACAGCCCTTACCTCCTTCCCTCTCGTGTCTATAGTTTTTTTTTGTTTGTTTTTTTTTTTGGATTTTCCAAATGAGTCATGCATTGCATTCCTAAAAAGGATTGACGTGAGAGCTGTGGTCAAGCAGGGGGTGAAGAAGAAGAACAGATCCTGTCTACTCTTTCACAGACCCTGTCTTCTGACTCAACAACTCAAAAGAACTAGAAGGCATACTGGTAAGCGATTGTCAAAGTTTCAGATCCAGACCAGGGCTTTATAGTCAACTCACTATGCATGTAATTATGGGGGCTGGGAGCTGCGAGTTAAATGAAATTTAAAGCATGAGTTATTTCCCAAGTATAGCTCATATTTTCTGTTCCATAACACTTGGATGCAAGATATAATATTTTTCTTTATTTTTCTCCACCAAACTATCTGTGGGTCAGAAGTCTTACCTAGAGGGTGAGAAAAATAAAAATAAAAATAATACAGTCTCTCAAGGTTGAAACCATATGCTCATTACCTGCTCATTAAAAGATGAACAATCACAGCCTCCACTCTTTTTTTTTTTAAGATTTATTTATTTATGCATACAAGAGCTGGGGTACAGGCCAGATATGAGGGGGGAGAGGATTCACCAGAGACAGAGTGGGGAACAGAACAGACAGATTGACCAAAGTACACTGCTGAGGGGAGCAGCGGGCGAGACAGGAGAGGTCTGCTGTGTCACGTGGGTTGCTTCCTGGCTGGCCAGGGATTGAACTCGTGCTGCAGAGGCTGCGGATTGCTTCGTAGTGCAGTGCTTAACCACTTGCACCACCAGGGAGGCCCACAGCCTCCACTCTTTCCATGCCCAGTCCAGTCAGAGGACCTCCCCTCCACTGCCAAGACTTCCATAATACTTTGGGTTTAGACCCCAGGGCTCTGGAAGCCATTTCCAAGAACAGAGCTGACCCTCCTGGAGTGGCCACTCTTGTGCCCACGATAGCCATCAGGACAAAGTCTCTGTGATCCCTGCTTCTTTGTGGCTCCAACATTGCCATTTAAGTCTGGAAAAGGAGGGTGTGGTTGGTGAAGCCTAGATGACAGGTTCACATACCTTTGCTGCAAGGGAGATAGGGAAAACAAGTATTGGGGCCTACAGCATCTATAGTGAGAGATGGGCTCTGCCTCTCAATAAGACATGTAGAGTGGGGACACCTGCCCCCCCAACACCCCTCCTTCCCCCTGCAAGCAGGACACGGGCAGGAAAAAGAAAGGACAATGGCTACACAGCTTTCACCTGTGGATCTTAAGGAAACCCTTATCCTCTCTTAGCCTCAGCCTCCTCGGTTGAAAAAAAGGATAATAATACCTGCTTCACAGAGTAGAAAGCCCAGAAGAAAAAGGCAATCCGGGCCATCCTGCCTCCCTGAATCATACGTGAGGGAATGGGGGAGGGGAGACTGTCCCAAGAGAGGGGGAGAGGCTGTAAGGGGCCGCACCCAACATGTCAGGTTTTTTTGTTGTTTTTTTTTTTAAGATTTATTTATTTATTTATACAAGCACTGGGTACAGTCAGAAGCACCGGAGGGTGAGAGAATTCACCAGACCCAGAGCAGGGAGCACAGCAGGCAGAAGGACCGAAGTACACTGCTGAGGGGAGCAGCAGGCGGCAGGAGAGTTCTGCACGCCATGCGGGACCCTCCTCCAGTGGCCGGGGAGCAGCCGGGGATCGAACCGGCACTGCAGAGGCTGCAGGCAGCTTCGCAACCCAGCGCTCAACTACTGCGCCACCGGGGAGGCCCTCAACGTGTCAGGTTTTGATCATAGGGCAAGGACCAAGGCTGAGCTGCCCACTGAAAGTGGGAATGATCCAGAGATATTCCTTTGCAATTGTTATCACTTAGCAATGAGTGTTCTAGAAAGAGACAGACTTAAAGAGAGAACAAGATGCTCTCCAGTGGGACACTGTGCACACAGAGCCAGGAGAGGAGGCAAGTCAAAACACTGGGCAGTCCCAAAACAGAGGTCATCTTGCCCTCAGTCGGGATTGGGTAACCGCTACCACTTCTCACAGAGGACTCCAGGTCACCTGATTCCCCCCTCAAGCCAGCAGGCTGTGCGTCACATACTTGCAAGTACCGAAGCAGTGAAACACAGCAATTGAAACTCTGCATCTGCGCTCTTCATGAAGGTCTCTCCTTATGACAAAAAAATCTGATGTGATTTCTCCCCATACCTGTGACTTCTCTCACATTCCAAACATGGGAATAAAAAACAATTGATTATGAAAAACAGTTGCAAAATGAAAATTAATTAATTTGTTTACTTGTATTTTTATCTCTACAATAGTTTGGACTTAATAATAACAATAACAATAATAATAAATATAACTATGACTAAATGAAAGTTTTATATATATACATATGTATGTGTGACCACCCTCATAATTCTGTCACAATATATTTATAATCAGTATTAGAGCATTTATAGGTACACTTACATGTATGTACATACATATACATGTATGTACATATATGTAAACTAGAAGTTTTACTAAAAATTTTATTTTCATTGAGTTGTACATATACAATGAGTATATTTTAAGGCATATAAACCATAACTCAATAAAGCTGTTTTTAAAAACCATCCTACACAAGATCTGAAAGCAAACTACAAATTAGCAGGATATATTTGCCATGAAAATACCTGGAATAGTGGTATCCTTACTATATAAAGAACTCTTCAAAATCCTGAGGAAAACATTTATATCCCAGTAGAAAAGGAGACAGAAGAAGAAATAGAAATGGTCAGTAAACATGAAAAACATTTTCATCTTCACTACCAATCAAATAAACATGGTTTTAAGCCATAAAAATCTTAACTTCTAAATCTGGCGATTTCTTTTTTCAGGTGGTAGGTAATTGACCGGACTGAGGAAGCCTCCAGGCCTCCTAGATATCGCCTGTTCCAGACCAAGACAGAATTAGGAAATAAGTTTTTCCTCCTTTGTCTTTTGGTGTCACCTAAAGTGACATCTTATGCCTTGTTCCTGGCTACGTCTATCACTATGTCACTGAATTGGGGTTTCTGGAGCAGGATCTCAGATATGTAACGAAGGGTAGTGGAATGTTTGTGTTACGGGGTCTTAAAATTGTTTATATTTTAAGTTCCAGTTTTGTAAAAATTAAAATCTATAACACACACATAAAATTTTGGGGGGTTTTCCGTAATTCGTAAGTGTGGAGGTGTTCCAACCAAAAAGTTGGAGAACTGTTATAGGACAGGGAGAGGGGCAGCCCAAACCCCACAAACCTGCCTATTCTACATGGGTTCTGCCATCCGCCGCATCAACACAAAACATAGGAGACTTTAATGGGAAGGAACTTTAATAAAACTAGGAAACAATACAGGAAAGGCAAAGAGTCTAGTTTCTAAATCAAGCACCCAAAGTTACCCGTCCCCTCGTGGGTAAAAGTCCATCCATATGGGATTGGCCCAGAACAAGGCCCCAAAGCCTGCCACAAGTCTAAAGCATCTTCCAGTGGGGACCCACAGCAAAGGGTCACAAACAACCGGACAAGCCCGGAAGGAAAAGAGCAAAATCAACATCAAGATAAAAGCTGCCATTGTCACCTCCCCACGGGTCTCACCCACATCTGTGTCACCTAGTCCACGACCAAAAGACAAGCGCAGTTTCTTCACGTGTCTCTAGGCTCCATGCGCCTCCTCCAGGTCTCCTGGCTCCATCCTGCTTCCTTCCTCAGTCTCTTCTCCAGCTTCTCCTCTTCCTGCTCAGCTCCACCCTCCCTTGGGTGGGGCAGGGAACCTGAAACCTCCCCCTTTCCTGGGGACCACCCTGTTACAGAACCTCCCCCTTTCCTGGGGACCACCCTGTTACAGAACCACCACAGTGCAGGAACGTTACATGCCCGGGAAATCATCGGCAACACCGCAGAGGACAAGAGACTAAGAGGTGAAGGTTGCAACCCAACCTTAAGGGTGGGAACAGCCTTTACTGGGAAGGACAGAGCTCGGAAAGGGTTGGGGGACATGACACAAGTGGGCCCAGGGCAGCCCCAGGCAAAGACACTCCCAGTGAGCGGAGGAGCACAGAAAACCCCTCTCTGGGGCCTCCCTGGTGGCGCAGGCGGTTGAGCACCGCACTGTGAAGCTATCCACAGCCTCTGCAGCGCGGGTTCCATCCCAGCCGGCTGTAGAGCTACCCACATGGCACGGCAGACCTCTCCTGCCACGCCCGCGGCTCCCCTCAGCATTGTATTTCGTCAGTCTGCCTGTTCTGCTCCCCATTCTGTCTCTGGTGAATCCTCTCACCCTCCCACACATCTGGCCTGTACCATCTGGCCATCTGGGGTCTTGTATAAAAATAAATCTTTCAAAAAAATAAAAATTTAAAATTTAAAAAATTTAAAAAAAAAAGAAAAGAAAATCCCTCTCTGCAAAAACACACCTTCCCTTTCACACTCAATTCGAGAGGCTGTAAAATCTTTCCTGGCTGCTCAGTGATCTAACAAAAGCCAGCGCATGAGCTGGACGGGAAATCGAATGGCGGATTCTCCAAATTATTTTTAAAATTTCGCCCAGTTCGTAACAACTGTAAAGTCAGGAGTAAGGGTTAAACCATCCGTTTCCTGACTTAAGCTGGTGGGGGAGAACCGGGCAAGGCAAAAAAAAAAAAAAAAAAAAAAAAAGGGCGGGAAAATAAAGCACTAAAGAAAGAAAGACCAGGCTGGGGGAGGGGCGGGGACCGCGCGAGAGGCCAATGAATGAGGCCGAGGACGCGGCCCGTCCCTCTGCCGCCCGCGTGCGCAGGCGCGCGCCCGCTGATCTCGCGGGAAAGAACCGTTGCCGGCCCCGGCGTTGCGCCCAGGTGGGGGGGGGGCTGGAGGCGGGAGTGAAGTATCGCGAGAAGAGGCGGTTGCCGTAGCGGAGCCCTCCGGCTGTGTGTGCCTGAGGATCCGCCGCCCGAGCCGCGGACGGTTTGCCGAGCCCGTTACTACTCCGCCGAGCCTCCCGCCGCCGCCATGTCCCGCTACCTGCGCCCCCCCAACACGTCTCTGTTCGTGAGGAACGTGGCCGACGACACCAGGTATGCCTGGGGCAGGTCCTCCGGGCCTACGCGCGGAGGCCGCAGGCGCCCGGAGAGCACCGGAGCGCGGTGGCGGCGGCGCGCCGGGCCGGGGGAGGGGAAGGGGCGAAGATGGCGGGCCCGGGTCGGCTTTCGGGCCCGAGCTAGGCCGCGCCGCCGGCTCAACCGCCGCGTGGGAACCGGGGTGGCGCCCCTTGGCCTCCCGGACTGTGTCGGCCGCGTGGCGGGTTTTGGGTCCCCTCCCCCGCAGAGAGGGGCCCCTTTCTCCCCGTTTCCTCCCGGCCCACTTCGGGCCGAGCACCCGCTCCCCATTGATTTGTTGGCGTCCACGTTCTTCGGGGTGCACGCCCCTCGGCCCGGAGGTTTTTGTTGTTTTTTTTTAACTAAAAAAATTGCATCGAAATAACGGGATCGGGGGAGGGGAGGTGGCAACACGTTCGCTACCTTTTGTTTTATATTTGTGGATTTTTTTTTTTAAATGGTGGCGATTTTTGGAGGAAGGAAATGCCGAAATTTGGGGGACCACTTGAACGGTACGAAGTAGTTCTCCCCGTTCCTGGTAAAGGATTTCGGAAGCCTCTACCTTTCGGATACGGGTCGCTAAATTGGATTAATCCAGACCGTGCCTTTGTTCTCAGCAATTCCCTTAATTGTTTGGAGTTGCCCGCAGAATTTTGGGGAAGGGGTTTGATTACAAGATGAGACTTTGTATTTCACAAATGATCGCTCTGTCCCCAAAAAAAGAAGCCAAATTACTTGGGGTAACCTTGTATGGTTTACATTCTTCTGTCCTAAATAGGAAAATAAGCACAAATTTTTACTGCAAGCGTCTAGAAAATTTTCCCCTTTATATCCTTTTCGGCATTTAAGGAGTTGCGTGACTTTTTTCGAACTTATTTACCTGGTACTAGGTGTTAACCCTGTTACTCAAATTTGAGAGTAAAAGTAAGTGCTTGGTAATTTCAGAATTCTCGCTTTGATTTGACATACTGTGAAAGAAACGCATTAGCAGTACTTCCATGGAATCTAATGCTGGTATACCTATCGTAAAAAAGAACGATGTGGGCAAAAACAATAGAGATAAATTGTGATCGGATTACCTTAAAATGTCTGTTGTTAATGTGAGATAGTAATAGACTTTATTACAAACTTTATCTTCCCAAAAAAGTGAATGCTAGCGTTCCTTTATCAGAAAACATTGCCTGTACATTTTTGTATGTTCTTCAAGTTGGCTCTTAATGCGATACGGAAAGCTTGTGTCTCCGACCACTGAGGGAGTCAGCACACAGTCCTTTTTATTGATTGAACTGTTACAGGAAGATAACTGTCTTACAAAGAAATTCATCGAAGGGAGTGAACATAAAAATTTGGGGTTTTTTTATGATATTTTAGGTCTGAAGACTTACGACGTGAATTTGGTCGTTATGGTCCTATAGTTGATGTGTATGTTCCACTTGATTTCTACACTCGCCGTCCAAGAGGATTTGCTTATGTTCAATATCCTTTCTTCAGATGGCTGATTAGTGAGGGGTGTTGAAGTTTGAAATTCAAGTTTATGTAAGAGGTAACATCTAAAAAGTAGTTTTTTGTCCTCTTAATAAATGTCTTATGTCTTCAAATTTTTGAAAATTAATTCTGACTCACACATTGCTCTTATTATTTCTTAAAGTTAATCCAAAAATGGTAAAATATTTAAATTCCCATTCATGCTGCTAAAATTCAAATCAGTGATAATGATAATGTGATTTAAATTTGAATGCACTGGTTGCTACCACCGTTAATGTAAGTCAAATTAAAAATTAATATGTTCTTGTGCTTAGCAATTAAAGTTTGGTATTGTTTGTTAATTTGAATCACTTGATCAAAAACAAATTGTATAACAATGAGGTAAACTTCTTTAATATTGTCCCCTAATTTGCTGTCCTCTGTTGTTACCTCAGAGAATGTAAAGCTGTACAGTTATGGCGACCCCAAAGAGAAAGCATGAAAGAACCTTTAGAGTAGAGTTCAACACTTAAGGCAAGTAGACAAGCCAAAGACCTCTTAAGGATCAGGCTTGAAGAGAAGGGAGAGTTTGGGAAAAGAAAAAATAAAGAAAAGCTGGAAGAAGGACAAGCCTAATGGGAGACAAAGCCTCGCTTTATCTACAAAAGGGGGAAAAGGTTGTTTTTCAAAGTTAAAGATAAAGCCATCTGTCATATTTGGCCACGCATCTCATGACAAGTCCTTCTGACAAGCACTTAAAGAGTTAAAGGTCAAGATGAAGTTGAATGATGGCCAAGATTAAAGGAGTCATACCTGATGTATCCTACAGAATAACTATTTTCTTTCTTTCTTTTTTTTTAATGTTTTGTAAGCAGTTAATTTTCAAAATTATTCTGGTTTGGTCTAGTGACAAAACCTGTAACTTGATTTATGTGGGCCTTTGATGTTGTGATTGTGGTCTTGTATAAATGCACTCTCTCATAGCTTGTCAAGTTAAAGTACACCAGGATGTATGTTGTTAAGCTTAAACTCAGCATACTTCTGTTTTGGACCAGGTGGTCAGGTGCCATAGAGTAGCAGGCAGTGCTCTTTGGAATAGCATGAAGTTTTGGGGTTGAACTGACTCCTCAGAACCATACTTAAGGGGAGACAGGTGCATGTTCTGGGGATTACTTAGAAATAGTTGTGGTTTGTCTTGTTAGGGTCAGAGCCACTAGAAATACTACCTGTTTATTGATCGATTTTAAAGTGACTGCTGGGAGCACACTTAAACTCCTAACTTCTGAATCTTAGTTCTCTGAATCCTGCTGGCCTTGCACTGCTTTACTGAATAGAATCAGCTGGCCCTGGATGGATTGCAGAAGGCCTTATCCCCGGGATGGCTACCTAAACATGATCTATGGGAAAGCATTCCCTGGCCCCGAGTTTCGGGTGACATTACTGCCTTCAGTGAGAGCTTCCTATGAAAACAGAGGTTCGGGCTGTGAACTTCAAGCTAGGGGAAAAAATCTTAAATTTAATGGACCTCTTGAAACTTGGTGGAGTCTTGGTGAGACTTATTCGTAAAGGCCAGAAGCTGCTACTCTTGCAGGGCCAGCACTCAAGGACAGTTGTAGGTATTGGTTGCAAAACTCTGTTATAGAGTGGATAAGAGCTATATCTGGCTTGGCTTTTTGTCTTTCTTTTAAGTGATGTATTCTGGCTTGTAGTGTTGACCTGATTTTACCCAGCTGTGAAGTAGCCTGGGAACCAGGATCAGCAGCAGTTTGGCACAAGACATATGATACTTGAGCCACAAAAGAGTTGTCATCTGAAGGAATCCTAAGGAGAACAACATGTATTTTTTACACAGTGTTTCTATTGTCTTAAGAGAAGTAGATGTCAGGATTTTAGGAAAAACCCTGAGTACTAACTGGCCTCAGACTGGTGTCTGCCCTTGCCATAGTTATCTCTTCTGCCTGACCCAGTTACTAGTTAGCCTCTCTTAACAGGTAAAGTAGTTTACCATGTTTCATCCAGTCCAGGTTTGTTTTTGAGGGTTAGCTCTAAAAGATAATTTGCTCTCATGCTCAATCTAAATCCTTTTTGAATGTCTTTTCTGTCTCTTGAAGTAATAAAGTAGCATGCCCTTTAAGAGAATTACTCCTTTCATTTATTTTAGCGCCCAACTGCATTAATGTTGAGAGGTAACAGTCACAGCATTCAAAGTTCTAAACCTCTTCTCCCCCTCCCCCCCCCCAATTGCTTTGCCTTGTCATGTTGAAAGCGCCATGATTTAGGGCTTAGGAGAACATCTCCCTTAACCTACACATAGTAACCTCAGGGAGAGAGCTGGAAACCTGGTGTGGTCCTTAATTCCTTTCAAAACAAAAAAGTAGCCATTGAAAACAAAAAAGCAGAAAATCTAGTGAGGTCAACTTTTGGAATAATAGGGTATTAGTATCAGTCTTGAAAAAAGTATGTCGCTTCGGGGTGTTTTTTAAATCAGCTCTTAAGATCTGCGTTCTTCTCTCAAATTAAGAAATAGAAATGGGGCCTCTTTGGTGGCACAGGCTATTGAGTGCAGCGCTGTGAAGCTGTCCACAGCCTCTGCAATGCAGGTTCGATCCCAACCGGCCGTGGAGATATCCACATGGTGTGGCCAGACCTCTTCTCTCTCGCCCGTTGCTCCCCCCAGCAGTGTGTTTCAGTCAGTCTGCCTGTTCTGTTCCCTGCTCTGTCTGGTGAATCCTCTCACTCTCCTGCACATCTGGCCTGTACCCCCGGTTCTTGTATGCATGAATAAATCTTAAGAAAAAATAGAAATAGCAAGATGGAATAGTGATTTTTAAGTTTTTTTTTTTAGGATAGAAATCCACAGCTAAATCTAACCTAACTCCCTTTCCAAGCTTTTATATCAAACACTGAATATGTACTTGGCCTCTGTTAGGATGGTGGTTTTAGGGAAAGAGCTAAAAATGAACAGATTATCTTTGTAAAACCAAGAGTTCTCAGGATATGGCTGGTATTGAGGGGGAAAGACAAGGCAGCTTAGCTTCTCAGATCAAAAACAGTATACCAGCAGTTCCTGCTTCAGACTGATAAATGTGAACCTGAAATCCTCAAGTTGAAAACCAGCCCCAAACCCACCTCGTTGCAGGAAACTGTATTTTAGTATACTAGGGCTTCCCGGTCCAGGAATCTTTATAAATGGTCTGTTATTTCTTACAGCATGCTTTTATAGCTTGTGCATGGTATAATGTGCTTTGATAGAGGGGTGTTTTGAGTATTGCTTGCTATCAAGTGGCTAGCATACCAGTCTTGCCTTTGTGATACAGGGAAGACAGCTACCTGAAGTAATAGTTACAAATGTCTAAGAAAACAGCAAAATTAATTTGAGGTTGTAAGGTATATTTAGGTTGCTTACACAAGAACTATTGACATTTTCTTATTTTCATTTGAAACAAAAATGAAAAAAAAACAGTTTTGGTTTTATTTTAAGAAATTTTTGGTTTCTCATACAACAACTGACATTTCTTTTTTGTCTTGTTTTTGTAAAGTTAATTTTTAAAAACTCAAGAAAAAATGTTTAGTGGAAATACTTGGTAGTTCAGCTATAACCAGTCTCATTTCAGTAACTTTACAATATGTAGTCACATGTGTTTTCAACTGTATGCCTTAGAAAATCACAAGTGCTTTAGCACTGGGAAGTGTTTATAGCTGATACAGCCAACTAGTAAATGGGGTCTGGCTGCTTTTTCTAGAATAATACCGCGAGATTGTGAAGTGCTTCAGACTTACCAACTGAACTCTCATTCATTATCAAAGTTTGCAAAACTTCCCAAGCCCCTTAACATTTAGCACATTTGAGGATGTTCGTGATGCCGAAGATGCTTTGCATAATTTGGACAGAAAATGGATTTGTGGACGCCAAATTGAGATACAGTTTGCACAGGGGGATCGGAAGAGTAAGTACCCTTATGCCTAATATATGCGTGATGCACCCTTACTAGACACGGTTTTGAGATTCTTCTTGTAAATATTTGTGCAGTTTATCTATTCAAAACCCAAAAAGGTCGTTTTTGAGAGGATGGAGTACATTGAATACTTTTTATTTTTCATGTGAGATGTTTAAAAAAGGTTTTAGGGTGGATATAGATAGAATGTAGGGGTGAGAGTGCCTGAAATAAGTTCAGACTCTTCAGAAAATAAATCCATGTATTAGCTGTGACATGTTTATATATTTGGAATTGAGTAAGATTGAAAAGGATAAGATTTGGAGAGTTTTAGGTTTCTTGAGCAATTTTTCTTCAAAGATCTTCAAGGTATATAATTGGATGACTGAGTACATGGCTGTGGGAATGAACAGATAGAACTAGACTGTGAAAGGCTATATAGGTTACACCTAGAATCAGTTTCAGATTAGTACTAGGGGTTCTTTTTATTGTGCAGGCATATACTTGCAGGTGTTTGCTGCACGAGTGCAGGTTTTGGAGTCAAGGCCTATATTTTGAATTTGGGCTTGATCATATGTTGTTACCTTGGGCAGGATAATGAAAGATGAAAATAACAGAGGAACATTGGGGTTGACCTGGGTATTCCCTATGTTATTTATAGATATAATACACACATGAAGTATTTGCTTTGTAGATGTGAGATAACATAAGAATTGAGTACTGTTCAGGGTGATAGGTATGTTTGAGGCATTCGTTAACTTTTCTCATGGTCTCAGAACTATATGTCTGTTTCTGCATTTTGGCACTACAGATTGTTCATGGGCCACCAACAATAGTATTTTGTTGTAACTTGTGTTCCTGATGAATGGAAACCTTGGCAGGATATTTCCAAATTTGCATATAGTTCATAAGTCGTTCATATTTTAATTTGTAGTTTTTTAATACTTTTATGATATATTTTTATATTAAAGTAGCATAATTTTGGACAGTAAGCTGTATGTGAGATGTTTGAGTCTGTTTTCAGATAGACTTCTTTGTCAATATTTACCTTTTTTCAAGATTACTATTCACAGCCTTAACACAGATGGGGGGCAGGGCTAAAGGAAGGGGATGCAATTGTTTTTCTATATATTTCTTTTCTGTATATTTCATAGCTCCGAATCAGATGAAAGCCAAGGAAGGGAGGAATGTATACAGTTCTTCGCGCTATGATGATTATGACAGATACAGGCGGTCTCGAAGCCGAAGTTATGAAAGGAGGAGATCAAGAAGTCGTTCCTTCGACTACAACTATAGACGATCTTATAGTCCTAGAAAGTAAGTGTAATGTGTATCAGCAGTCTGTGGACAAGATTTTTTTTTACCTTTTTGTATACTTTGAATTGTATACATTGTATGCTTCATTGAAACTAAAATTATTTTAGTGCTTTGTTTTTAAGTTTTATGGTTTACTTTTTTAATCAGAAACTTTTTAACTCTGTAAACAGACATTTGTCACTGTTTGCTTTTTCTGATATGCTTTTTAGCAGTAGACCGACTGGAAGACCACGGCGTAGCAGAAGCCATTCCGACAATGATAGGTAAATAACTTTGCTTTGAAAAAAAACTTTAGAGTGTGTGTGTGTGTATGTGTGTGTATATATATATATATATATATATTTCAATTCAGAGTGAACTTTTGCTCTAAAAATAACAAATTTGATTAATATAGAATCTAATTTTTAGTCTAATTGTATTTCTCCTCTGTTTTAAAAGATTCAAACACCGAAATCGATCTTTTTCAAGATCTAAATCCAATTCAAGATCACGGTCCAAGTCCCAGCCCAAGAAAGAAATGAAGGCTAAATCACGTTCTAGGTCTGCATCTCATACCAAAACTAGAGGCACCTCTAAAACAGATTCCAAAACACATTATAAGTCTGGCTCAAGATATGAAAAGGAATCAAGGAAAAAAGAACCACCTAGATCCAAATCTCAGTCAAGATCACAGTCTAGGTCTAGGTCAAAATCTAGATCAAGGTCTTGGACTAGTCCTAAGTCCAGTGGCCACTGATAGTATAAACCATGATATTTTTAGGCATGTATCATTCATTTACTCATAGTTTGGTTTACTTAAATTATCAGGAATACAATGTTGCAATGATGCTTAAAAACACATGTCAGTTTTCCCTGTACCAGGCAATGGTAATAATTAAAATGATATGCTGTTGAGAAGCCACTCTTACTAAGAGTCCAGTTTGTTTAATGTTATGGGCAGCTACCAATTTGTGGTGTCTCTGTATATTTTTGTAAAGATTCTCATTTTTATGCTTGAAGTATTGGTGAAAGGATGTTGGTTGACCATAATTTGCAACATTGTCTTATTAAAAATAAACTTTCATATCCATATTTGGTAGAACTGTTAACATAGAAATGTAGCTTGCTAATTAATAAGATAGAATGATACAAAAGTGAAGTTGTAGCCACAGTACAACACTGACTTACCAGACACATGTAGGTTCAGGGTGGACCTTTTTGTCTTGTCAAGATGTCTAGGCCCGTGATAATAGCTAATTTATAACAGTGGAATAGTTTGTGGACCCCACTGTCTTTGGGGAATGATGCCAACTGGGTTAGGTAGCATTTGCAGGGAGAATGAGGTTTTGACTGAAAAATAGAGCCTTCACTTGTTATTTTGTGGATTCTTTGAAGATTTGGAACATAATAAACATCAGAAAAACTCACCTTAAAATTTGAGCTAGCCAAGGATGGCAGAAAAAAATTTTAAGGGGAAAGAATGCTCATATGTAGTTACTCACCATTAAGGAGCATATGTGTGACCATATTATTGCTTAATTTTCTTAACTGCTGTTAAAAAGCAGGTAAATTGTTTCAAAGCCAGTTTTGTTTGTGTGCATAGTGTAAAAGAACTGAATTTTGATACTTACTGCATTTGGTATGTGCATTTGTATCAAAATTTGCCTACCTCCCTATGAAGGAGGCTTGTTCTTCACACCACTTTATTTAATATGAGGCAAGTTGAATGACAACACTCCCATTTTAGGTGATTGTGTGGTGCCATGAAATTTAAATTAATTTCGAAAGAAGAATTTTAAAAGTCACATCTCTGAATTTTTGATTATCAATGTAGTGTGGCAATACCTGACTAAAAAATGAGAAAATAATACCCTTAACCATTTATAATTTCTATTTCTCTGAGAGATTGTTTGTCGGGGACGGGGGAGGGAAGGGACAGTAAAAGTAACTTGACATGTCCAGTTTCATTTCAGAATAAAAGCTAGCATCTTCAAAATTTTTAGATTGCTTGCTTACAGATAAAAGAAAGAAATACTGTGGGGAAACTATTCCTTTTAGAGGATTACTTTTTTTCAATTTGGTTTTAGTAATCTAGGCCTTGCCTGTAAAGAACAAAAGATGGTTTTTAAATACTGTTTGTGGAATGTGTTTAAAGGATTGATTCTAGAACCTTTGTATATTTGATAGTATTTCTAACTTTCGTTTCTTTACTGTTTTGCAGTTAATGTTCATGTTCTGCTATGCAATCATTTATATGCACGTTTCTTTAATTTTTTTAGATTTTCCTGGATGTATAGTTTAAACAACAAAAAGTCTATTTAAAACTGTAGCAGTAGTTTGCAGTTCTAGCAAAGAGCAAAGTTGTGGGGTTAAACTTTGTATTTTCTTTCTTATAGAAGCTTCTAAAAAGGTATTTTTATATGTTCTTTTTAACAAATATTGTGTACCACCTTTAAAACATCAATGTTTGGAGCAAAACAAGACCCAGCTTATTTTCTGCTTGCTGTAAATTAAGCAAACATGCTATAATAAAAACAAAATGAAGGAAATAATGATTAACTGGAATTATTATAGTTTGAATATGATTCTAAAATAACAATGAAAAAAATCCTTTGTAGATGTTAAGAATATTTTTAAACAGTGTTGACTAGGCATAGCTAAATTTACTTTAGATATGATAGAACTTGTCAGAAAGGTACATCTTTTACATAGTACTTAAAAAAACATAGGAATGTCAAGTTCATATTGTAATTGCTTATTAAGCCCTTTGAGTTAAATAACTCATGGGTTATTGGTAGTGTTGAGCATATAAAGTGAAATTTGGGTTAGCTAATTTAAGTTTATATTTTCATTATTGGGTGAACCAATAATTTTGCTCTTCCCCATCCTAAACAGAAATACAGTGGGCCTTGTAAATGTTTATGGTATGATTTAAAATACTTTTTCATTGAATGTTGATCAGCAGTTAATAAGTAATAACTCCTTGGGGAAACTGGTTTGGATGTTTTATGTTTTCCAGCTATGTTGTAATGACAATTATAGCTGATAATTATTAAGTATTGATGATATGCCAGAAACTATTCTGAAAGTTTTTAATGTTAGAGTTAACATAAAAGTTCCCTCTTCACAAAACCCTGAGAAAGATGCTTTTATTTTTCCCATATCACAGATAAGGAAACTAAGGCACAAAGAAAAGACTGAAAGCCAGTATTTGAGCTTACGCCTGGTCCTTAGATGGTTTTTTTTAATGGACTATTTGGAAGAAGTAGATTGAAGGAGATAGCCCATTGAAATTGTCTGGTTTCTTAGTAGACATAGGCCTGATGTTTTCATTTTTATTTACTTGTGTCACTTATTTTGAGATTCAGACCATTTTCTTTGAGACCCTTGTCTTCTAAAGTGACATATCTAACAACTTCAAAAGGACTATATTATAATGGAATCTGTGTTAGTTATGATCTCATTGATACTTGATGAGGATCCTTACACAGTGCTTTAATTTAGGATTACATAGTTGAGTTCCACGGTTACTGAGTAATAACTACTGTGTCTGGCACTGTGCTAAGTATTAGAGTAGATCATATCAAGACTGAAGTGAGGACTGACACTTCGTCTCTTTTTACTTAAAGTCTCTGCGGTTTTTGTGAGGGTTTTTTGGTTTTGGTTTTGTTTTTCTTTTAAGCCAAGTAAGCAAGAAGAAAATAATGACAGATAATGCTTCAGTAAGAAAGGAAAGGTGCTACATAGAGTGTGAGCTGTTAAGTTACAACCCAGGGGAAAGACCTGGGAACTATTGTACTATTCTCTTGAAAATTTGGCCCAGTAAGCTGCTACATCCAGTTCAACTAACAAAATCCTGTATACCACAGAGAAGAATAAAGAAAACCAAACTGACAAACATCCTTCTTTTATTTAAGACCAAACTGCAGCTGGAATACCCAGTACAGTTCTGCTTACTACACTTCAAGAAAGATCTGAGAAAGCGGAAAAAGAACCAAAGAAGGGCAGTTCAAGCGACCAAAGGGTGGGTGGAAGGTGCTGCAGTATGAATACTGTACGAATATTTTGACTCTGGTCTGAAAAGATAAAAGAATGTTATCGAAACTACATGGAATAATTGAAGTCCCTTCAAGTTTGAAAGTAAGCATTTTAGGACAATTAAAAGGAAATTCAACTTTGTACTTGTGGAAACTAACCCCTAAATCTGAATAGGTTTATATTGATTCGTGGGTAACAAGTCCATAATAAGTTATTGGAAACTAGGATGTCTGAGTATCGAGGAAGACAGCCATAGTCTCTTACAGTGCCTCTATTGGTCTGTTTCAAACTAAATTGGGTGAGAAAAGGTATGGTCCAATTTAAATTTTTCTTGGTTTTCTCTTAAAGTCAGTTGCATTTTCACCATTGGCAAATATTGCCTTTATTTATTCCAGTGCCAGTGTTGTCTGCTTAATGGTTTGCTTTGTTGGCATCTGAGTTTATTTACTTGTATGCCACATGCAGTTTACATATTCCTTAAACATTAAATTCTAGTTATATTTGACATCCACCTAAGAGGGTCGGTCCATCTCTTCTCACCTCTTTTCTAGTCAGTGTATTCAGCAAACATTTACTGAGCCCTTAAAGTGGGCGGAAATTATACTGGGTAATTGGGGAGAAAACAGATAAAATGCAGTTACTCAATAAATGTCTACTGAGCACAATCTAGTGAATCATTATACCGTGGCCTCATTGTCTTGTTTGAGGTGTGTTATAACTATTTTGGAGCAGTCATGCTAATGTAATTATAAAGCCTTTAAAAACTATCAAAGATACGTAATCTTGTGGTTATCTGCCATTTAAAAGTATCCAATATTTCTGTTTGCATCCCATTAATACAGATAATCAAAATGATGTTTTAATCTGTAATAATCTGATTTGTTGTGCAGTGACTGTAATATTCTAGAGTTATATTAAATTGTTAACTCTGCCTCCTCCAAAACATTAGGAAATAATCCCTAAAATAAGTATTTAACTTTGCATTAGATATAAAGGAGACACTGGGTGCTATAATTAGATTATTTTGAGGCAGACAGCTGTTACCCCAACTGATTTAGTATGTTCTGTAATTGAGAAAATGTTCACCAAATTATACTTTCTAGTGATTGACATGTACATTTTATAGGGGACATGTTCTGTGTATAGTGAATAAATAATTTTTATAGTATCACAAGATGTTTTGATTCCTTAGTTCCTTCTTAGGATATGAAGTTTGTCTTCCTATATATTGATTTCATCATTCACATAACTTGAATTTTGTCATTTCTCCCACATATTTAAAATTTTCCATGTAAAGTTTCATCTAAAACTATGAAAGTGTTTAAGCCTTTATAAAGATTTTGAAAATAGAGCAGAAAACACATAATGAAAGGGAAAATGAAATGGTAGAGGTATTTTTACCCATTTTATTCAAAATGTTTAAGTATCTCCAAGTTCACACAGTAAATAAAGTGGCAGATTCTAATGTCCATAGTTGTTCATTTGGTCCATCCTTTTTTTCTTTAATATAATGGAACTTTTAGAACTTAATTTTCATAAAGTGATAAAATATGAAATCTAAAGGGGAAATTTAATAGATTCCTAAAAATGATACTGGAAGTATTTTGTACTGAGAAAGAGGTTGGTTAAAGGTCACTCAAGACCTCACAACTGTTGTGACTCACAACAGTTTTCCAACCTGGCTCTCCAAACTTCAGTCTCACTATGTTGTGTATTGAGCGTATTCCCGTGAGAGAATTTGCAGGGTAGGGGGACTTGAGACAACACACTGATGGTTCAGGAATGCTTTTAGAAGCCCCAGGAATAAACTTTCTGTTGATAAGTTGAAACCTATTTGTCTCCAGCTATTGACCTCTATAAGACAATAGCTAGTTGCTGTGGATTTTTCTTTTAGGTTTTTTCCCTCTGAGTCCCCCTCACCCCACAATGTTGGTTGTTTATTGTATCGTTTCTATGTATTTTAAGACAATTTCATCTTTTAAAGATGGTTCTTTTTTATTTGGAATAAAGAACAGGGCATGTAAGTCCTTTCATTGATAATTGACAGAGGAGTTTGTCAAGGCCTGTGTCTAGTTTTTGTAGGTCACCTTTCTCAATGCTGGAGAGTAAAGTAAAAAACTAATCTAGGGGTCAGAAAAATCTTATTTTTTTAAGACAGTGCTGCCTTATAGAATTGTGACTTGGTAGACTTCCTCATTTGTGTAAAGAGGTTTTAGAGCTGTACCCTGCCCCTCTTGTTTTACAAAGTAATTGCCAATGAGAATGCAATTAAAGGTAACACTGGAAAACTTTTCAAACACTTTGACTTTTTTCCACCTTGTGCTTGCTTTTGGAAAGAACAGAATGTACTAGAATTTAAGATTATGAACTTGAGTCCATCATACTATACACTGCCAGCAAAAATATGTGACGAATTTAAAATACTGACTTAAGGTTTACTGTGGCTGACTTCAGCCCTTAGAGGATAGGTTCTCCAACATTTGGTTCTCACAAGTACAATGAATTGGGAAATCCCTGTCACCATACTTTGTGCAGGCTGAGCATATCTTTATTTGAAGTACCTTTCTAAGATAGGACATTGATATCGTTAACTTTAAGTTTCACTTATCCGAAGCTGTTAAACTTTAGTTAAAAGGCTTTTTTCTACTCCCCTCAGCCCTCTGAACACTTAACCACTTTAGTTAGTCCCATGTTTTAAGTTTTGGTCAAAAACCAACAGACACCTAGCTTAGAACATTCACAGTATACCCCATCTGGTTCCACTCTTACGGGTTTCAGTTACTCACGATCAATCTGTCTGAAAATACTACATACAGGATTTTGAGGCCACATTCACATAACAGCACATTGTTATATAATTGTTACATTTTATTGTTAATATCTTAATGTGCCTAATAAACTTGGTATATATGTACGGGGTGGGGGGGGGGTGAATCGTATACATAGTTTGGTTATTTGTTGGTTTCCAGGCATCCACGGGGGTCTTGGAACATACATCCCTTGTGGTAAGAGAACCACTATACCTGGTAACTCCAATGCAGTACAGAATTTGGCAGTCCTTTAATAGAAACCATGTTGGGAGTATAACAGGGGAAAAATTAAGACCCAAGTGTTGATTTCCTCTAGATCAGTTACAATCGTGCATGAGTTTCTATCAATGATGGTTCCAACAGGCTATACACCATCCATCCTAGTTTGTGTAAATACACTCACAATGACACAATCACCTGACAATGTTTTTTAAAACATCTTGCTCCTTAGTCACACAGGACTATTAAAAAAGCAACTGTGGTTCTTGGGATTCCTCCAAAGGCCCCCTTGTAAAAATTAACAAGGACCTCTGTCAAGGCAGTTCTTTTGTGTTAACTCATCTTAGAATGGCGAAAAGAGGGATACATGATTAAGCTTTGTTTAGACCTTGACACAAAAGGAATTCATAAGCTTTATGACATTTCCAAAGTGTTCCGTAGTCTTAATGTTAGCCCTGCTGAGAAGGAATAGTCAAAAGCAGTTAATTATACAACTGTTTAAGCCAAATGTCTACCTAAAAGCCAACAGTCTTGTCATGTTTCAGTTGGGTTAATTATGTGCATGTAAGATTAGGCAGTGTTAACCTTTTATAAAACAGAAACAAGCCAAAGAAAAAGCAATCTTAATTTCAAGCTTAAATTCATATTGTGTATGTTAAGTACTCTATAACTTGTCTTTAGGCTCTCATTATTTGACTTGGGCAGTATTATGTCATCTGAAATTATTTGGAAAACTATGACTTAGCATTCTGTTTAAAAATACCAAGAAAGCAGCCAAGTTAGAAAATAAGTTCTGAGAAGTTCTAAATTGATTCCACTCATACCCAATTTTTTTTTTGCTGTTGTGTTAACTGTTACACTTAGCATTTAATGCTATCAAGGTATTAGGTAAGAAATTACATCTTTTGCACAGTGGTCCCTGGGTTGCGCTGATGACAAAAATGTATACACTGGCATCACTATACTCACAGGTTACAAAAACTAGTCAAAGTCAAAATGCATATTTAAGGTTGGAGGGACCCTTTAATAGTTCATCTTTGGACTTAAGGTAGAAAAATTAAAAGCCCCATACTACATTTCACATCTCTTAAAAAATAGGAAGTGTTTTACAGCTTAAAATCTTGTTACATAAAGCTTATGCTAGCATTTACTTTGAAATATAGATTACAATCTGATCAATTATACATACACTGGCACTTGAGCACAAGGGCAAACTTTAAAAACAAATTATTTTGGACCTCTAAAATTAGGCCATAATACTTTAAAAAAAAGAGTTGATGGTCTTACATTCAGCAAATTCATACTAAAATATTCTATTTTTGTGGGATAAATGCCAACAAAGTTTTATATATATGCTACAAGTTTACTACATAAATATTTACATGGCTCTTTCCTTAGGTACTTTAGTTTCACATTATAAACCCCCACTTTGAGCAAGCCTTGCAGGGAGGATTTGAGACCAGATCACTGTTAGAATAGCTTGTGCAGTGCTAAATACAAAAATGTATTTCATAAGCTACTCAGTGACCACCAAATACTGTTTCTATTTAAAAAAGAAAAAATAGTTTGACGTATTTGTTGGCAGGTACCTACCCACTGCATGTAAGAAACAGCCACTAATCACCACCATGCAGTTCATTAAAATGCAACTATTTAGAAAAATTCACATTTTCTTTTGTCAGTGCATCGGGTTGTTGGCATATTACTTGTTTAGATGTTTCTACACAGGCATTAAACTTTAAAATATTCAACTAATTTTCAGTCCCTGTATTTCAGGCACTCCTAATCAGGTTCACTAACATTCAATAAGTAAATCTAATCCATGAATGATAAATTAGTATTTTCTCTCGAATAGAAAAAAACAATTCCCTTCTCATTCCTGAAATCTAAACTTGATGGTTTAAGATTTACCCAATTCAGACTACTTAATATCAAAAACAGTAATTTAGTCATTTTCAGTTGCACTGATAACTACCATTACATCACAGCATGTACAACACTTAATAAGGGAGATTAAGTCTAATTATATTTTCTTCATTAGCCAGTTTTACGGATTAATTCCCTAGTGAATTTGTCACCGAACAATTGACAACTACCCTGTAAATACAACTAACTTTTAACATTAGTAATTTATTTTATACCTGGACTTTAAGTAAGGTTTTAAGTTGGAATGTCATTATTTCCTTATCAGAAGGATTAAAGGAAACAGGAACCCAGTGGCTTGGTGGCTTAGGCAAGACACTTGGTGATGGTGGCTCACTAAATTTGGCTCCAGCGTAGTTCTGATGATTAGTTTGAGACTTAAAAAATGAGGTGGGACTTGGTAAGCTAGAGTTCCAATTTTGATTATTTGGAAAGTTTTTGTTCTTCCCCCCATTTTGCATGGCCTGCCATGCAGCTGCTGATGAATTATAAGTATGTCCTCTCTCTTTTTTCTTATGAACAATCTTCATCTGGGAGTTCTGGTCCTTGGTCTTCTGTCTATTAAGCTGTTGTTGATTCTTACTAACATTTCTAGATTGTGGGGCTGGAGTGTTATACCTCTCTCCACCACCCATCTTCAGCTTCTTTGTCACCTATAAGTGAACAGAAACAAAGTGCTGAGTAAAGCTCCATAAGAACTTAAAGACTTAAGCTTCTAGAGCTGCAATCCCACTGCCCACCTGTGACTATGAAGGTGCCTCTTTTCACCAACACTCTTCCTCTGCAGGGCAGCAGCCTTCCTGCCTGCCGGTGACCTGTCAAGGCTACCCACCTGCAACTATGCAGGCCTCACTTGGCAAACCTGACCCTTCTGGGGCAGCTCTTCCTGACGCTTCTGTCTATACAAGTGTCTTTAACTGTTTTAGCCCTTCCCTAATAAACCTGCCCTTTAAATATTTTTTAAAAAAGCTTCTTGAGCCCCCACTTGTAATTCCACATATCTTAGCTAACTCAAAAATGTTTTACTCTACAGCTTTAATTTCATTAATCACACTTCATTATTTGCACATCCTTTATTACCTTCCTAGGAAAAATGAACATATCACAAAAATAATCCTCTAAAAATAAAGACAACTGATTTAGCAGGATAGGTGTTATAAAAAGGTTTTGCCCCATTACAATGTGAGTTTTTTATACCTTTCAGTCTGCTTTTCAGATTGCAGGATTTCCACGACCTGGCCTCTTCCTTGCTGCCAGGCCCAAGATAATAGATGTTGTTTTCTCACAGATCCTTTCCTTTGTCTCAATACATAAGTTTTCATGGGCCGATCTGCTGAGTTCAGCCTAGGCGCTAAGGCCAACATCTGAGTCTCCTCAGCGCACCAAGTTTGAGAGAAGTCCTAGCTAGAAAAGTGAAGATTTCATTATTTCAATTCAAAGACTGGTAAAAACATCATTTACATTACAATTTGCTATGGAAATAACATGTTAACTTTGAAGAATAACTACTTCCTGAACTAAAAGGGAAAAAATGAGATGTTTCTGAAGATGGCTTTCTTTGATAATGTAACTATCATTTAACAATTCTCAGCTTTGAGATACCCGGAACGCCCTTGAGGAATTTTGGGACCGATGTCTGCATTTACCGCACCAAGTTAACTTTTTCCTGGGATCTTTTTTGAGTCTCACACGGCTCTAGTAACCAAAATGTTACGCCAAACTATGGAAGCAGTAGCCATTACAGCCATGCCAAAAAATTGGCTTAATTTCCCGAACAGATCGTGCGTTATGTCCCACGAGGCTTTCCCCATCTTTCGACACCATGTATCCGTGTTCACAAAGCCGCCTCTCCGCACGGCTACGTCACGCAAGGTGCGTCCTTAGTTGTGGACACTTAGTTGTGGTCCTTCCCCCTTAGGTAAGTTTCCACGAGCCACAGCCACCTCGGCGACGCTACATAAATAAAAGTGCCTCCCTGCGGGGAGCACTAAGCCCCAAGTTTTCACGTGCTACTCCAAAAAGCCAAGTTACCAGACAATACGCCCTTCGAGAGTACGGGGGCCGCGCAGGCTGCTTCCGTAGCCCTGGACAACAGCGCGCCAGGAGAGCTGGGCCTTTCCCCGTGGCTCGTCCCGCGCGGCCGGGTCCAGCCCGCCGCCGCGGCGCGGCCGCCCCCGAGCTCGCCCCCGGCCCCAACAATGGGGAGCGCGGCCGCCAACATGGCCGCGCCCGCGGCGCCGCCGTCACTCACCGACTTCAAGCTCAGGACTACGGCGGCGGCGGCCCCTGCTCGGCGTCGAAGCCCCCCTTCCAGGGAGAGACGAGGTGCGGGACGAACAAGGCCCACGAGCACGGAGAAGCCAGCTGCCGAGCGCCTCCGCGTCCCCGCCGCGACCGCCTCCTCCTGCCTCTACAGACAAAATGGAGGCGGCGGTGCGCGCAGGAGCGGGCGGGGAGGCGCGGCGGCCAATCCCGGCGCGCCGGCGCGGGGCCGGGCCAATGGGACGCGGGCCGCCGCCTGTTGCCGGGGCCGGCCGGGCGAGGGGCAGGCGGCGGCGGCGGCGCGGGTTTGAAATCCTGCGGGAGAGGAGCATGTCGGGAGCGGCCGGGCCCCCGCGGGCCGTTCTCCGGGATCCGCGGGGCGCGACGGGCCCTGCCTGGGCGCCGGACCGCCCTCGCGAGCCCCGGGCAAGTCCTGGGCCGCGGCCCCAGCAGCCGGCCGGGCCCCGCGCGCGCCCGGCGGCCCCCGCCCTGGAGCGCGGCGGCTGCCCCGGGGGCGCTGCTGGCCGCGGCCTGCGGTCCCAAGCCGAGTTCTGGGCCGTGCGCGGTTTTCGCAGAAGGGGCGCGCGGGGTCGCCCCTGCTCCTCCCTCCCTCGCCTTGCTGGGTCGCGGGACGCGGCTGCTCGTCCCCCGACGGCCCGGCCTCGCGTCCCGGGTGCCCCCCGCGGCGCGCGCCCCCGGCCCCCCCGGACCGGCGTGGTCGGGGCCTCGCCCGTGCCCGGCTGGTCCTCGCGGCCGGGGCAGCCCCGGGTCACACCGCAGGGACACCCTGGGGCGCGGGCGCGAGTAAAGTTAGTAGCAAGAACGGGGGCGCCCTTATTCCGGGTTCTGCCCAATTGGGAAGTGAAAGGGGGAGAAGAGGTACCATCCCTCTGCTCGTGCCCGGAGGTGCGGGCAAGAGCCACGGGGAAACGGGAGTACATGGATCGGCAACCCGAGAGGTTTTAAAAGGGAACCCCACTTTCTATGAACGTGGGAGGCACAGAATTTATAGATACTATTTCTTGTACGTTCCACATAATTCATTTTTTGATCTTCATTTTTTCGTTAACTTCATCTCCCACCTCTGTGCCCTTCTAGCCATGGACCTTACGTTTTTTTAAGACTTGCTACTGCGTTTTCAAAGAGGAGTTTGTTCATCAATTTAGTAAAATGCATAGAAGAGATTTTTGAGCATGGAACTTTCTGGCACTTACTGTACAAAAGTCAAATAAGATGTGCTGGTAAGTACTACTAGGTAACCAACTGCAAGTGTCATCTAGTTCCTAAAAATTCAAGGAGCTGGCTTAGACTTCCCGCCAGAAAACAGCCAGGCTGTATTTTATAGGTTCAAGACTTTGAATTCTGAAAAGACTCTTAAAATATAAATTGTACTATAATGGCTTGTAAAGTGAACAATTTGGTTTTCTCTGAGCGCTTTCTGCTTTGAGTCTCTTTTATAGCCATCCCAGTTGCCTTCCAGATTCATCCCTACTGAGCCTCCACCCTCCTGCCTTTTCTCTCTACCCTCCACAGAATCTGATTCTTACATTTTTTAATTTTTTTAGGTAACATTAGTTCACTGTATATGATTTGGGGGTACAGATTTTGTTACTTTAAAAGAGAAAACGGTGGCCCCAAATTGTATTATACAATTCAACTGCCCTCTGAAATTTATCTGTGTAAACACACATGCAACTTACTCTACCATCCTTCCCCCTGTAACCAGAAAATGCTGGGGTGGGGCTGCCCTTCCCTGTCAGAAGCCAAGTGAACAGAGACGGAAATTCAATCTATAACCCGCACTTCATCCATCAGAAAGTCAGCGATGAGAGAACAGGGGCATTTTACCTTAAAAGTTCATTCTAACATCTCATCGCAAGCTCGCCTTCCTCTAGTGAACTAAACAAAGACAGTTAATCATAAGCGAACCTCCCACCACGCAGCCCATCGTGGTTGGCGTCTCATCCTCATCATGTCCCCAGAGTTTGTTGTGGCCTCCTTGGTCATCTTGATGCAGGTACCCCCTATTTTCCTGGGCCTGAGAAAACATCTTTTCTCCTGATGGCGTCAATGTCCAACACTTCTTCAGACCTGACAGGGGCAGAACTCTCAGTTCAAAACAAGAGCTTCAGGGCCTCCCCGTTTGCACAGCGGGTTGAGCACAGCACTGTGAAGCTGTCCGCAGCCTCTGCAGCACGGGTTCGATTCCCCGCAGGCCTGGCAGACCTCTCCTGTCTTGCCTGCTTCTCCCCTCAGCAGTGTATTTCATCAGTCTGCCTGTTCTGCTCCCTGCTCTGTCTCTGGTGAATCCTCTCACCCTCCTGCAAGTCTGGCCTGTACCCCGGTTCTTGTATAAATAAATAAATAAATCTTTAAAAAAAAAAACCTTAAGTGTTTGAAAAAAAAATAAGAGGTTCAGTTCAAAGAAAGACATTAATCACATGGTGTTTGCATGTGTCCTATGCTGTATATGTATGTGCCAACTCCTATACTATACAACACTGTACTATTCCTATACTAGGTATGTTTCCCTTCCCTTCCTCACTAGCCCCATCACCCCCACCCCTAATTGTTTTGCTTACATAATTTCATTTAGTTTTACAAATTTGGGGGTAGGTGCTTTTTTTAAAGATTGATTTATTTATGCATACAAGAACTGGGGTGTAAGCCAGAGGTGTGGGAGGTGAGAGGATTCACCAGAGAGAGTGGGGAGCAGAACAGACAGATGTACTGAAATACACTGCTGAGGAAAGCAGCACTGCTGTGCCATGTGGGTTGCTCCCTGGCCAGCCGGGGATCCAGCGGGGATGGAACTCGTACTGTAATGCCTGGCAGTAGCTTGATAGCGCTGTCTTTAACCACCTGGGAGGTCTAGTAGGTGCTATTTTGATCTCAACTGTACCAGTGAAGAATATGAGACTCAGTTCAAAGTCATGGACTAAGACCCCTGAGCCCAGGCTCTATGCTCCTTGCCACCCAGGGCCTGAGAAGGTGCTTTGCCCAGAGCAGACACTGACTATTTGCAGGACTGCCAGGGCTGCTTGAGCAGTATAAAGCTTCCTGTCTGTCATCCTGCTGTCTGGCAGAGTCAGGCTGCCCTCAAGAGAGCGCTGTTAAAGCCGTGAGCATGTCCCGGATGCCCAGGGGCCTCTCAGTACAGTTCTAGCCTGATCCTCCATTAATATTTACCAAGCGCCCACAACAGCTTAGAACTGGAAAATAAAATCATGCCTTCCTCAGGACATCTGATACAACTTCTGCCTGTTCCCTGCTGCTTTTTAAACTCAGTTCCACCTATACAATCCAATGAGGGGTTCTCGTAGGAAAATGTTGATGCAAACAGCTCACAGGATGTAAATCAGCCAATGCACCAAAAGCATAATAAATATGAGTGTTCAATACCAAACATCTATTTAATGAAGATTCATCTGGTGCAGGCACTCTGCCAACCCCTGGAGATACGACAGTGAATGAGGTTCTATCCAGCCCTAAAGGAACTCAAAAATATCCCCTTTACTGTTTATCTGAGAAGAAATCTGGTGTCTGGGAACATTCATTTCCTCAGTGCTTGCCCTGAGAATCAACGACAGGCTATGACGATTATAAACACAGTAATCAATCTACAGACACAGCTAAGGAGGTGCAGGTTAGTTAGAGGCATTGTACCGTGATCCTGGGGGATGGAAGGGGTGGGGTGAAATTCTTTCTCAGGAGAGTGTTTTGAATAATGCATCCATGGGAGCCCAAATCAACAAACCTGTTACATAAACCTAGTCTGTAAAGTGAGATGAAGTGACCCAAAAAGAAAATCAATCTGAAGGTCTAGCTTTGAAAAACTGGCAAAGTTGCAGGCCGACGCTTTTTGTATTTTAGACCCCATGAGTATGAGGGCACCAGAAACAATCACACAGGTTTACCAAGCCTTTGGGACAGGTCTCTGGTAGGACTGGCTGGCTGTTTTGATTATTTTTTTTTAAAGATATATTTATTTATTATTTATGCATACAAGCACTGGGTACAGTCAGAAGCGCGGGAGGGCGACAGAACTCACCAGAGCCAGAGCGGGGAGCAGAGCAGGCAGAAGGACCAAGGTACACTGCTGAGGGGGGCAGCGGGCAGCAGGAGAGGTCTGCACGCCATGCGGGACCCTCCTCCGGTGGCCGGGGAGCAGCCGGGGATCGAACCGGCGCCGCGGAGGCTGCGGGCAGCTCCGCAACCCAGCGCTCAACCGCTGCGCCACCGGGGAGGTCCCCTGTTTTGATTATTTTTCTTCCTCACACTCCCCTGTGAATTCAGAGTACAACTTTGAATGCCTGCAGTTCTGTCAGCCGATGGCTTGAGTGAGGTGAAAGGCCCACTGGTGTTTTGATCTGTCTTAGGCCTCTTGACCTTGTTGCCCAGCTGCTATCCAAATACACACCCTCACATACCATGAATTTGTTTCCTGGGGAAGCAGCTGCTGCGTTCCTCAGTCGCTCACACATTCCTGGGCAGTTGCAAATCTGTTCTTAGCATGACAGCCAATTCAGAGTAATTACTAAATGGGGCACAGGAAGTCAATGCTTACATCCCCACTCCCTGTGACTCCCACCCAAGGGTTTTCTTCTTTTTTTTTTTAGAGGCATGTATTTTTATTTATTTATTTATTTCTTGTTTATTTGTTTGTTTATATATGCACTGGGTACAGTCAGAAGCACGGGAGGGTGAGAGAATTCACCAGAGCCAAGCGGGGAGCAGAGCAGGCAGAAGGACCGAAGTACACTGCTGAGGGGAGCAGCGGGCGGCAGGAGAGGTCTGCGCACCATGTGGGACCCTCCTCCGGTGGCCGGGGAGCAGGTGGGGATCGAACCGGCGCCGCAGAGGCCGCGCCGCGGGCAGCTTCACAACCCAGCGCTCAACCGCTGCGCCACCGGGGAGGCCCTCTTTTTTTTTTTTTTTTTTTTTTTTTTAAAGATATATTTATGCATATAAGAGCCGGAGTCCAGGCCAGAGATTCGGTGGGTGAGAGGATTCACCAGAGACAGAGTGGGGAGCAGAACAGGCAGATCTACTGAAATACACTGCTCCCCTCAGCAGTGCTTTTAGTCTGTCTGCCTGTTCTGCTCCCCACTCTGTCTTTGGTGAATCCTCTCACCCTCCTGAGCCTCTGGC